AAAGAAGAGCTGGAAAACACACCAGATTCCGGGAGACAAAGCAGGGATCAGCTTCCCAGGCTAAGGGATCTGCTGGGAGAACAGCACTCTGTGTATCCCCTGACAGCTTTTACACCACGACAGAAGTCACATCTTCACATCTTCCATCCAGCAGGAGCTTTGATAAAAGGTATTTATAGATCCACCACGAACAAATCCTCCACAAGCAGAGGGGTTGTGCATTTTGTGGGAGAGATGGAAGCTTGGCTGTTGTCACAAGCACCAGGAAAAAAGCCCACCAGCACAGGGTAGTTCTTTAATTTTTATTTTCTTTACTAGCCATTTATCTATTATCACAGGGATAAATTTCTCTTTTTTTAGGTCTGTCTTAACCCCAGAGTGACAACTGCTTGACAGCACTAGAGATCTTTGTACAGGAGGGATTTAAAAGCACATTAAGAACGTGCTTTTTTATTAGCACAAACTCTGCTGACTTCACTGGCACATATGAAAGAAAAGCTAAAACATATCCAGGTATTTTAAGGATGGAAATAAGGGAGAATCTCTCCACAAGACATTCCAAAAGAAAAAAAAAAAAAACCACAACCTTGCTCAGCTTCCACCCCACCCACTGCAAGGGAATCAGCCATCAATCTTTGTTTTCCTTTCTCTCACAGAATATTCTGAGTTGGGAGGGACCCACAAGGATCATCAAATCCACCTCTTAGCCCTGCACAGGAATTCCTTTCATGGAACATGACACTGCAGAACAGCAGTGACCAAGGCAGAGTATCAGGTGATGAGTCTGCTTGTTTGGTTTGAGGCACATTAGTTATTTATGTGGAATATTTCACGGATGAGACAACAGAATTTCCCCCCTGAGAGTAAAGCTCAATCCTGGGGGATCCTCCCGCTGATCCGGCTCTCTGCTGGATTTCCCACGGGCAGGAGCCAATCGAGGTGGGCACTGAGGGGCTGGGAAAGGCTCTGCCTGTGCCTGACACCAGGATCTGCAGAGCTCAGCAGCTCCCGCTAAGCCGGGCTTTACACATTCCCTGCTTTACACATTCCCTGCTTTACACATTCCCTGCTTTACACATTCCCTGCCACTGCAGCGCCCAAAGCAGCTGACAGCCACAATGAAGAGTCTTTTATCCCCTTCCTGGTAACAACACGAGCCTCCCGAGCTGCCTTTTGGATGTTCTCCTTCCTAACAGCCTGGAAAAATCACCCTGCACTCAAAGGAAGTGGTCGCTCCGGACTTAAAAAGAAAAAGGAGGGTGAAAACATCATCTCCTCACAACTCCTAAATATTTTACAACAGGGCTGGAATTATTCTCTCCCATAAACATAAAGCAGAAAGCACCCTCCTGGGGAGCACCTGGGATTCTCTCCATCCTTCCTTTGCAGGTGCTCAGGACTGAAAGCCCTCGGAGGAACAGGGATGAACACAACAAAACCACGATGGATTATCCCCACTGCTCACTCCAGCAAACAGCTCCACGCTCTCCAACGAGCCCACGAGAAGGAAGCCAGCTAGGAAAATACATTTTTAGGTGTGTCAGCCAACACAATCAATCAGAGAGTCACCTTGAGGTTGCAGAGATAGAGATAAAATGAAGCTGCAGTCTGGGGACTCTGTTGGGCAGCCAAGCGCAAAGGAAAGGGCTGGATTTACGCCCCTCGCCTTTCCCTGCCCTGGTTAAAGGTGAGTTCCATCTGAGAGGCTTTTTATAGCCTAAACTTTGAAGCAGAATCAAAACACAGAGGGTTTTGTCTGATTTAACCAAAGGAAAGCTGAAGGTGAGGCTTGTGATGTTCCACACTTGGCTGTGCCACGAGAGCAAAGCACATGGGGATGGGATGGATGGAAGGGGCCAGGACATAAAACACGGGGTCAAATCCCAACTCCAAAGGGGGGTGACATTGCCCTGGGAATTCCCTGAGGAGGAGCTCTGACCCCCACAACCCCAGGCATCACAGAGATGCAGCTTTAGTCACGGCCTGAAAGGCAAACTCCCGCCTAAGTGGTTAAACTCCCTCCACTGCTGCTCGTTTTCAGAAACATCACCCAGTCTGATTTCAGAAATATCACCCAACCTTCAGTTTTTTGCTGGCAAATCTGCTCATGGCCCCAGGGAAGTATAATGGGAGATGACAGTGGGAAGTTCAGGAAAAAAAAAAGAAAAAAAAGGAATTTTCCCCACAATTGTTTGCTGGGGAAAAAAAAAAGAAAAAAAAAAGATTTTTTTTTCTTAGGTGATGACACAATTCCTCTGGGAGGGGTTGGTGGTTTGGTTTGGGTTCTTTTAAATTTCAACAGAACCCTTTTCTTTCCAACATATGAATCAAAAATAAAAGCTGCATTGCAGTGTTTTCAAGTGCTATAGTAAAACACAAAAAAAGAAGTGTTTGGTTCTGGTTTGTTTGTACTTTATATAACATTTCTAAGAGGTTTTGAAGTCTAAACCCCTGCTTTTCTAAGAGGAGGTCTACTCTGGTAGTGCTTTCCACCAGAATCAGGATTCCTTCCCCTGCCAGGCATTATTTGTTGGAGGGAAGCAGCTCCTTAAAACCAGTAAATGAGAATTACAAGTAGCATTTCCTACTCATGCTGCAGTGGAATCCACTGGGGATCAAGTTACACCAAAGCCCAAGGAGCTCAGTGCTGCAAATAAAGAGGACAAAGAATACAGAGAGAGATTTTCATGTTCACTTACACCTACAAACCTCCAAGGATCCCCCCAGAGCCCCAGCTGGTTGGTTCCTCTCTCTCTCTGGAAAGCAGAATCTGGATTTGAGGACATATTGCACTGGTGGAGGTGATTAAAATGTGCACCTAAAACCTTGCCCTGGGAAAGAAACTCTAAGCCTCTGATTTCCAAGATAGCAAAAATAACCCCCTCAAACCTGCCAACCTGAATATATATATAAAATAAATATTTATATCAATAAATGCACGTGCTTTGCTTGTTTCTCTCTATTTTTTTAAACTTCAGTGGTAGGAAATTAACAGTTGCTGTTATTTTTCCCTTTTACCTTTACCAAAGGAATTCTCTCTTGTCAGCAAGAAACAAAAAACCTCTTCCAGAGCATCTTAGTTACTGTTTTCTACAGACAACAGATACTTTATGGAAAAAGATACATTATAAGCGGGGAAAAGAGAATTCCAAACTCCATTTCTCTTAAAAACACAGCCCCTGCTAAAGGATTTACAGTAGATGTATTTTAATCTGGTTTTAATATGTCTGAGGGTTTATTTGTTTAAGGGGGGGAGGGGAATTTGCTGACCTTTGTTTTTTTAAAACACCCAAATGACCGTGCTACAGTTACATTTTCATTCCTGATATTTGCTGGCCAAATCCAGTCCTCCCCTGCTGACCAAGATTGATAACCAATTTGATTATTCTATTGTTAACAGGCTGCTGGGGGTGGTACAGCTTTAACCTTCAAAGAAAGACAATTAATTTGGCTACAGGGGGAACATTTCTATAAATTACATAAAAGAATAAGAAAACAAGGTAATAACCGTTTATGTCCTGGATCGACTCATTTTTCCCTTGCAACTGTTCTGCAACTTTCACGAGAGGAGTTTCTCACAAACTCAAGGTTTTAAGAAGAATTTTAACAAATCTTGCACTGACAATTACTTTTAAGACCTCTTTACCGTTGTCTGGTGTGGAACACGTTATCGGTTTAACCACAGAGGACCAATACGTGAAATAAAGCACCAAGCACAAGGCAAACCAAAAATCCGAGTTCAGGCACCCGGTGCTGTCCGTGCCCCCCCTCCAAAACCAGCACCGGCAGGTTCCCGAGATCAACCCCTCCCAGGGACCCGTTTTTGGGGGGCTCCAGCCGCGGGGAGGGAAAGGGAAGCGCTGATGAATCGGCCCCGGGGAAGGAGCCACATCCCGCACCCTTTGTTCCCTCTAAATCAACCCTTGGGAACACGCGAGCCCCTGCAGAGCGCGGGGAGGGCGCTGCGGGCAGAGGGACCCTCGAGATTCGGGCCATTGGATCCTTTCAGACGCGATGACAAAACTTGGGTCGCGTCCCCCCCCGGGATGATCGGCGGGGACCCGCCAGCACCGCCCGCTCGGGGATGCGCTGCGGCCACGGAGCGCTCCCGCAGCCGCGGGAATGGGGATCCAGGGATGGGGATGCCGGGGATGGGGGTGCCGGGGATGTGCATCCCAGGGATGAGGATTTCGGGGATCCCTGGGATGAGGGTGCCGGCCATGGGGGTCCCAGGGATGAGGAATCCAGGAATGACGGGTGCCGGGGGTGACGGTCCCGGGGATGAGTGTCCTGGCCATGGGGGTGCCGGGGATGAGGACCCCGGGACGAGCATCCAGAGGATGGGGGTGCCAGGGATGAGGACCCCGGGGATGGGGGTGCCAGGGATGAGGACCCCGGGGATGGGGGTGCCGGGGATGAGGACCCCGGGGATGGGGGTGCCGGGGATGAGGACCCCGGGGAAGGGAACCCCGGGGATGAGCATCCCGGGGATGGGAACCCCGGGGATGAGCATCCCGGGGATGGGAGTCCCGGAGGTGAGGACCCCGGGGCTGAGGGTCCCGGGCCTGGGGTAACTCCGCCGCCGGCGCTGCCGCAGGGGCGCGGCGGAGCGCGGGGGCCGCCCCAGCCGAGCATGCCCAGTGCCCGGCATGACATCAGCGCCCGAGCCCGCCGAGCCCCCGCGCCCCCGGCCCTGCCCGGAGACCCCCGGGGGAACCCGGACCCCTCACCGAGTGGGCGGGGGGCAGCCCCGCCGGGGGGGCGCGGGGAGCGCATCCATCCTTCCAACGCCCCCCCCCCCCCGCTCCGCCGCAGCGGGAACAATGGCCGGGGTGGGGGGGACACACGGCGGAGGGAGGGGGCGTTGGGGGTCCCCCGCGGGCGGTGGGACGGCGGGGAGCGATGCCGTGTCCCCGGCGGGGGATGGCGATGCTCGCGCCGCCCGCGCGCGGGAGGGATGCGGGAGGAGGAGAAGAAGAAGGAGGATGCGGCAGACTCACCCCGATGACCACGGTCTCGTCGCCCTTGAATTTGGGGATGAATTTGTCGCCGCGGAGGATCTCGGCCTCGTTGAGGGGCCGGAAGCGGCACATCACCTTGATGCTGCACTCGGCGGGGTCCGCCATGGCCGGGCAGCAGCGGCAGCGCCGGGATGGGGCCGCCGGGCGGGCGGGGCCGGGCGGGGCCGGGGCGCCGAGAGCCGCTCACAGCCCCCACAGCCCCTCTCGCAGCCCCTCTCGCAGCCCGCGGACCCGCCCCGGACCGGCCCCGCACCGGCCGCGGCTGCGCGGGGACACGGGGGCGGTGCGGGGACCGCGGCGTCCGCCCCTCGGCATCACAGGGATGCGGGATCGCCGGAGGGGGGGGGGGGATGCTGGGAGCTGAAAGATCATCCTGTTCTCTTCCCAGGGACACCTTCCGCTAGACCAGGTTGCTCCAAGCCCCGTCCAGCGTGGCCTTGGACATCTCCAAGGGCAGCCACAGCTTCTCTAGGAAACCTATTCCAGTGTCTCACCCTCCCCACAGGGAAGAATATCTTCCATATATCTACACTAAATTTCTTCTCTTTCAGTTGAACCCATCGCTCCTTGTGCTATCACTCCAGTTCCTGGTGAAGAGTCCCTCTCCAGCTTCCTTCAGACACTGGACAGTGCTATGGGGTCTCCACACAACCTTGTCCTCTCCAGGCTGAACAGCCCCAACTTTCTCAGCCTGTCTCCATATGGGAAGTGCTCCAGGCCCCTCATCAACTTTGTGGTTATGCTCTGGACTTGCTCCAACAGACTCCCCTCAGCATCCTTCCCACTCAGACCCCACTTAGTGGCCCCCAACTCAGAGCCCCACTCAGCACCTTTCCCCCTCAGATTCCCCTTCTCAGAGCTCCCCTCAGAATTTCCCTGAGTTCTCCCCTGAGATCCCTTTGTCTCAAACCAAAGACAAGGCTGGCTGGTCAGCAAACCAAAAATCTGAGCTCAGGCACCAGGTGCTGTCCATGTACCCCCACCCAAACCAGCACCAGCAGGTTCCTGAGCCCAACCCCTCCCAGAGACCAACCTTGGGATTGTCTTCTCTTTTCCTTAAAACACAAGATTAGCCCTGTGTGTGACACTCACAATGTAACTGTTCAATCACAATCATCCAGCTACAGCTTCTGATTAACTACAACAACAAAAATTGCAGAGTTTGACTCGAATCTCGAGGGGCTCAAATCCTGGATTACACTTGGATTACAAATCTGCTCTCTGTGGGAAAATCTTAAAGAAACAAGGAGGGAGGACAGAGCTGTGCTTTGCCTCTGGCACAAGCTGGATCTCTAACCAGGTTATTTATTCCTGGAATACATTATGTACACACATTACATCACTGCTGTGAGAAGGAGCAGAAGCAATGGTACCTCGGGGTGACGCTTGGACCTCGTTCAATTGACAGGAAGTTTGGTCACGACGCAGTCGGTGAATCAGCATCTGGGAAAAACAGATGGAGGGGCTGGAGGCTGTTCCTACACATCAGGGGTGCTGTCCTTCTGCTCCTCCTCCAACAATGCTCCTTTCTTTACCTGCTAAAAGCACCTGCAGCACTTTGCCCTCCTGTCCCCACCCCTGTGCCCAGACTCCTTTATTTCACTGCATTCATGTGATTTGAAGGGTCTGGACCACAGGACATCTCCTCCTCCTCCTCCATCATTTTCTCCCTAGAAGAAGCTGGACCACTAAAGAAGATTCCAACCACCACTGATGTCTTCTGGACACGACCCAGACTTCAGCAATTCCTAAAACTCGGGTTTCTTCCCGAGTCCCAGTTTAACTCAATTAGCCTCAGCCCTACAATTAAGGTGATGGTGGACAGTCCTCCAGCATTTTGATGGAAATCTCCCTTTTTTCCAGCTCCAGTGGTTGTCCTCATTACCTGAGGTAGATGTGAGGAGCAGGCTTGTTCCAGAGGCTCTCACACCCCTCTTGAAAGCAATTACATCGAGGAGAGTTAGCAATGTGCAGCATGTGATAAGACATTATTATATAATGAGATTTATTCCCGTGGATTACCAATTATCCCTTTTATTTCTCTTATGTTTCAAGCTTTTACCCTGAATAGCAAATTCTGTTAGTCATGACAAGCAGGGGCTTAGTCATAAAAGACAACCCTTTGGATGAATTAATCCTTATTTTCCTCCATTATCCAGAGCTCATTTTGGAGCAAGATAGGCAAAAAAATCTATTTTCCTGTTCGAGCAGGTATAATCTGCAATCAGAATTCAAAGGGCCATCTTTTCTGAGCAGTTTTGGCACAAACAATGTGACATTGTCTGTGGTGCAGACAATACCTCATTGTCACTGAGCTGCTATTTTTACTACTTATTACCAGCTTAGGTTAAGCAGCCTAGTAGGAACAGGAGTTTTCAGCCAGACTCGGGAGTGATCAGCTCCTCCTGGGGTTTGGGAGCTCCTTCCAGGCTGGGCTGGGTGCCTGAAGGTGTGATGTGGAGTTTGTTGGGAAACTGCTTTACATAAAGCATGAAGAGACACAAAACCAGTCAGATGTCACTGCTGGCACCTTAATTACTCCCTTTCACTTCTGAACCCATGGCATTTTTCAGTCGTTCACTTTACAAGAAACACCACTGTGGCTGTGTTTCACTGAGCTTTCTTACACCAGAACACAAGAGGATTGTCTTCTTACCAGTACCACAAAAGCAAAAGCCAGAGAACCTCAATGTCACCTCATTTTCCTGCTTTCCCAGCAAGTCCTCCAGCTGTAATTCCACAGTTTAGCTCACCCTGGCAGACCAGATATGGTTTGAGAGCGAGCTCTGATTTTTTTCCTGAAGAAATTCTCAGGCTGAGCCAACCTCAGCTGGCACAGTTCAAACAGCACAAGATGTCAGAGCTTCCCAAAAGGAACAACGAATTCATTGGGATCATAAGAGAACAAGATACCAGGATAACAAGGTGTTAAGGCTGCAGGAAAACCAAGGGGGGGACAGGTGACAGTCCTGAAGGACACCAGAAGGTGGACTGTGATAGAGGTGATTCCACAGAAATAAAGGAACTGGGCATTTCAGAAAGGGGAAAAAACAATTTCCCATGTGCAGAGCTCAAAGAACTTTGTTTCCTTTCATTGCTTCTGGGCTCCAGGAACGGGCTTTGGAGTTGGGAAGGAGCTTCAGGAGAAAAAAAGAACACCAAGGTTGAATTTCTGCTGTGTTTAACAGTTCAGTGCTGGCCAGGGGTGTAATTTGTCAGCAGGGAAAGCGGCTTTAATGCAGATCCCATTGATCCTGGAGCCTCAGCAGTGGCCTGAGAGAGGAAATCTGATGAAATGCCTGTGCCAGCAGTGCTGAGATGTCTGTGGGTAAAGGGGCAGGAAAGCATTTCTCCCCAGAGGGTTGGGATCCCCACGACAAAAAGCAGTTTTAAGTGTCTCAAGTAGTTAATGCCCCCCAGACACCAGAAGACACCTTAGAGTGCACCAGGGAATATGTTCGCTAAGCCAGGACATGAAAGGGTTTAGCAGGAATAAAAATAAATAAGCAAATAAATAGAACAGGCAACAAAACGAGCTAAAAAGTGCTGAGAAGGCAGTGAGGAGGGAGTGAGGTACAGGAACATCCAGTGTGCATCCCCAGGGATCACCAAAGGCACGGAGGCACATCCACAGCTCAGGAGGGACACTGGGGGACAAGAACATTTGGGCCAGGCAAGGGCAAAATGCAACAGCAAAACGTTGCACAACTGACCCTCTCAGTCACCCAGGATGGTTATCCCACACACAACATCCCTTTGATCCCACAGGGAAGGATTTCTTTGGGGACTGGGGCCGTGGGGGTTCCTTTCTCACACCTCCACGGAAGGTCAGGGGTGGGAATGGAGCACTGGCACTCCAAAGATACTCCAGGAGAAAAGTGTTTGGCAGGGAGTTTAAGAGCAGAATTGCTTCTGATTTGCAAAACACTTCCTGTAAAATATATATAAGTTTCGTAAGTACACACATAAATCTCAATCTTCATATAAATTATTCACGTTATACAGTCATCTATATCATGTTAACCAACCTATAAAAATGGGTTTACTAAAAATAAATAAATAGATATTTTTTTTTTACTGCTTTGTAAAACAGCAAAGCCTTTTAGTTGCTTATATTCATCACTCAAAACATTTTTCCAGGTTGCCATCTTTTTATTTGGGTTACTCAATAAATCACCCGAATCAAAGGATGGGAACTCAGGGGGGGAATTATAAATTTATATATTATATGCTATAAATGATATATTTAAATTATAGGAAGTTATGAAGCAACCATAAAAACGCCAGCTGAAAAAAAAAAGCACTAAAAGCCACTAAAAAAAAATCCAAAATCCCGAGCCACAAAGCGTCCCCGGAGCTGCAGAAAGAGTTAAAGAGCATCGCAGGCAGCTGATGCCATCTTCTGGTGTCACTTACAGCGCCGGGGATTTAAACCCACCAGGACCAGTCCAGCCAGATCATCATCAGGAAGGGAGGGGGGACACGATGCTATTTTAAGGAGCACTTTATCCCCAGGGCAGGGCTCAGTGAAGTGACATTAATTGGGGCAGGGGCAGCCAAGCGTTAAGAGCCGCGGTGGGAAGTGAGCACCAGGCTGCCACCAATTCCCAGCCAGCTGCCACCAGCCCGGCCCCCGGGGGGGGATTTGGGCACGTGGGGATCCTTGGCAGCTTCTGCTCTGTTAAAAATCAGCCCCGAGTGCTCCCGAGGTTTGGGGAGTGCAGCTGGGAGATGTGCCTTGGTCACTGGATCGTCTTCTGCTCCATTAGCTCTGCTGGCCTGGGGAGAGCCCACAGCTGACAGGCACAGCTCATTCCTACTGACATTCCTGAGTGGATGAGACCTTGTCAGGGTATGATCCCACACGGATGGTCAGTCCTGTACTCCCACCAGACAGAAAGTTTCAGGCTGAGATGGCTGTTGTGTTGCAGGTTTTCTGTTATCTGCCACGTATCTGCCTGAATTATTGCCTCCCTCCTTCCTTTGCTCCTTGCTCTGATCCTTCTACATCATCCTCCCCGGGCAATTCCACTTGGATTGGAGTTAAACCAGGGTGCAATGGACTGAAGCCAAACTGGACTAAAGAGATTTTACTATTCTTAGTCACAGAAATAATCATAACTTCACAAAGTTATGAGACTGTTAGAGTGGGGAGGCCCTGGCCCAGGTTGCCCAGAGATGCTGTGGCTGCC